AACAGACCATCAGTCGTGCTCAATGCTCAAAAAACGTACACCAAACTTGGACGTTTGTCCAAAAATGTACCAAGATTTCCACTTGCGTTCGGTTTCGTCTCATCCCCCCTGAACCTCTTTACAATTTTATAGTCGTGTTGGTTAAATAAAAATGAAAAAACTGCATCAAAGGCAGGTACCGATTAGCACGCCATCGGCGTTGCAAGCTGCATGTGTTACATAATAAGGCACTACTTAAAATAATCCTCACATATTGATCAGTGTTATGCCATCGCTTTGACGGCCCATCAACTAAGCAGCAAGATGAACAATGTATTCGAAAAAAAAGGAAAAAGCCTTGCATGTTGCCAAGGAGCAGAATAAAACTTAAATCAACTCGTTTTCAAATAAATCAATTGTCAATTAAGCGAAAAAATTGAGTTAACGCACATTGCAATCACGTCGTTTTGTTCCTGCATGTGTTAGGCAAATGTTCGGCGTTTAAGCTAAAATATTGCTGACTAACGCCCATGAAGAACGACCCAGAAATATAAATTTCACGGTTCAAGAATCCATGTTTTACTTAAGTCTCTGATGAATCATTCGGTGCATAGAGAAGAGGAAATCAAGTCGGGAATGGGCGGGCAGCGCGCAAAAACCTGCAATATTTGGTGATAAAAATAACGTCGCCTTTAATTAATACTGTTTGCTAATCTAGAATTAGAAAGTGTAGCATTTAATTGCTTTACAATTATTCTGTTTTTGCTGTTACTAACCGACAAGCACAACACGACTTCTAAAGCAGTTTCTTTTAGAAACTGACGACGAATATAAACCGGTGAACGCGGCAGAAACGCCGTAAAAATGCGTCAATTTTGCCAGTACCTAAGTTAAATCAGCGTTCATATGTTTACAACTTTCTTGGATTTTTGCATCAAATTTTGATTTTAATAACTAATAACTAGCATGCTCGTCCTTTCACACTCGTTATCCATAGAAGGCAATTGGAAAGCACACTCACTCACAGAAAACCGGACAAGATGCTGATGCAATCACACATCTAAAGCGACTAACCAAATCGATAAATTTCGATATAAACATTTAAACAATTGTTTCCAGTCTATCCGAAATTGACCGGTAAATCCGGAATGAAGCAAACACAAAACTGTGATTTGCCCAACCCTGTTCAATTATTATTTGGTTGCAATATGAAATTTTTGCACTCAAGTCCGAAAATACGAAGCTAATCAGAGTGAGTGTAAAGATATGTGAGAAGAAAATGCAGATTAGAGGCAAATAAGTCATTTGAAAGGTGTTCGGTCGCCGAATTAAGCAAATATCGCTTGCAAACATTAAACAAACGTGATGGATTCGCCTTGTTGCTAAGTCAGGTTTGAAAAAGTTTGTTGAACTGTGCTCTCCATTATGCAACGAAGAACGGGTATGAGTCACATTCAGAATAAACAACCATATATTTCAATAGCAACGTATAATTACGGTTGCAAACACACAACGCCGGTTTTTGAATGTAAATTTCTATTGCACAAATAATTAGACGGTTTTTTTGCCATTATTTCAGCGTTTTGTTGCGTGTTTGTCGATGGAATCGACCATGTAGGGAAATGGCAACGATATAGAAAATCCGCAAGCTTTTTCCACGATCTTCGCATCACTTGCCCAAAACCGAGGCAATTTCACAGTATAATGCGATTAACGAGCTCCGATTGGAAAATGCGGTGTAAATGGGCTGTTTCGCTTATCCAACAGTCAAGGAGAGATTAATTAAGAATTGCAATTAAAGTCTAATAGCTTTTTAGCTCGGACATAATTGATCTGAAGAAAATCTTTGAAAAATGTATTTCGAGATGAAATTGCCCCGATTGTAGCAAGTGCGCGCAACACACACAATGTTTAAATGGTATTTGAATGATTTACTTCCAACCATAAACAGAAAATGTAAATTACTTTCCAATGAAAAAAGGCACTTAATTATTTGCAATTTTTTGCTTGTTGGGTATTTCGCATCAAAAATGTTTGTTTGAAAAAGACAGAATTTTCTCACGTCTTTTATTACAGATTGATAAATTCCGTCTTTTTTAAAGACAAACATTTTTGGGGCAAAATACCCAGCAAACAGTTTGTGAAAACATGAATGCGCCTCAACAATACAGGGTGATTCAAAATTGGCGTCATTCCTCGGCATCGATGCCTTTCAACGTAATCTGCCTATTTAAAGCTCCAGTAGCCAACGATAAACGTTAAAAGCGAAAGTGACAATGACAGTATTTCATTGTGGTTAGAATGGATACCCGTCAAGAATTTTCCTTTGCTGTCAATTAGTCTGTCAGGAAATTAATATTTTATGCTAGTGATGACGTCATTTGCGAAGACCTTTAGGTGATTAACTAATATTTTAATACAATTTGAACAAATAAACAGTGCGAAACAAAACTATTTTAACTAAAGAAGGATATTTTTTAAATTAGGCGCGACTTTATAATTTGAAAATTATTAAGTATCATTTGTTAGAGAAAATGTAAATCATACTCAAGAAGGTTTCATTCTTATTTTTTCAGCTGTCATGATCCTGTGTCAAATTTCAACAAGGTTTTCTTCCATTTTCAACTATTTCAACAATACCTCCAATGAAGAGTTATCGCGCAATGATGCCAACCTACGGTAAGTGAAGAACCTATTAAAATCAGTAAAAAAAGTCAATAACCTATAAATACGAGAACCATATCGGTGCTTGGTGGTGAAACGAAATTCTTAGATATGATCTGTTGTTCTGAAAAGAAACGTTTTGAAATGTGGACAACTCACAAGAGGTGTTCGAAGTTCTGCCCATTTAAGCCCAAACATGTTAGGAAACAAATTTGCGTAATTTGAAGCAAATATAGTAATTTTTCTTTTCGAGCGGTTAAGTATTCCAATAGGCTACCAATCAAAGATGGGGCCATTTAAGAATAATGCTTAATAACAAAGTCAAAATTCGATTTTCAACTGTTAATATCTTCTACAAATATTCTCTCGTACTCGGCAAGTGTCACCCTGTATAGAACTTATCTACAAATTATTTGCAAATCGCAAGAATATTCTACTGTTGCAACCAATGGGTAAACATTTTCTGATGTAACATCTGAGGCAAAGAGACGCTTCAAAACTGTTTGCAAACTGGCAAAGAACACTGATGAATAGTTTATAAACACTCGAAACTTGTTTGGTTTTTGGCAACTTTGTAATGACTTGTTTCTAGACAGGACGGTGTCTTTTTTGCCAAACTTTTGCATTAAGTAACTAAGTCTCGCACCGAGTTTTTCGTCAATTTTCAAGGATCTTTTCAATACTAATTTGTATTCGGA